AATTGCGAGATCAGCATTTTGCGGGACTGCAATGCCTAATAACTGATTAGACTCTACTTCCAAGAGTTTCGATTATACTTTTTACGTAGTATTACTATTACGTGCTTGAAGACTTGCAGGCAGTATCATTATTTCCACAATAAATGAATCGATTTGCATATTTGCATGTTGCTAATCGCTTAAGGTGCACTACTCGAATGTGAAACGCTCCAGTTATCTAACATGCTATCATCTAGCATCCGACTACTCTGCTATCTGCTAATTCCTCGAGTGTGCCGGAGGTGCTTAGGTAATGAATGTGAGGCACATAAAACCAGCGCTTTATAATCATGGTAGTAACTCTCTAAACGCCTCCATTAGCTAATAAAGATTCTGGTGGTATGGTTCCATAACGAGATATGTGGAGTGGTATATTGCGGTGCCATGTTATGATAAGAGAATTCTCCATCATTTTCATACGAACTGGTAGCTTGACGTTTTCGATGATCGAGCACATAAACTCATTGAATGCTATCAAATATTAGACGTACGTATAGAACTATATACAGCCCTTAACGCGGTAAGAATGTTTGAAGCATCTGGAAATCGCTTATATTTTTGAATATAGCGCACCATATCCGATTCTCACAGTATGATGACTTTCGAATTAAGTTTATTTTATTTAGAAGTAGCCGATAATTGGTTTGCTGCGGCGGATATCAAAATTCAATGATATGGTTCAATCTTCGAACTGCCTAAGGTTAGAAACACCGATGAAAATATCTTGTGGCATATTGTTCCACAATATTTATACGTTAGGGAGCAGGTGTTACGGTCTGTTTTTGATTCTTCGAATCAGAGACAATTTAGAAGCAGAATTCTGGCCAGTTCGTTTGGCAGGCAAACATTAGACCGTCTGCCAACAAAGTATCATCAGTTGCATAGCTCTTCTATGAACAGCGTTATCTGAAACTTGTCGATTTACCATTGTGATCTCTCAAAATTGATATTTGTGTCAATATATTTCGTTTTCTGTTTTCCATCATTGCAATTTTAACTTGGCAACGCTCAGAACCACCTGGGGTAGGTATCTGCACCCAAAAAACGTCCCTATCGTCAAAGCGGCAAGTGAGCGGGATGTTGTCGTTTTTAATGTATCCTCTTCTACCGTCAAAGCGTCAAAGCTCCTCTAAAACCGCGAAAATCCATTCTGAACTGTTGTCATTCTTACACAATACTTAACTATGTTTGAACACATATTTCAGTATGACTGAATTTGTTTCTGTCAGTATTACAACGAAAAAAAATATTCCTATATGTGTGTGGATATGCGAAATAAGGACTGTTTTGGAAATATACTTTATGAGCAAGTTCATCCCCGACTTTTTTTGCACGTGTTTTAAAAAGTGTATTTAGGATTCTTGAATTTTCATACAGGTTGTTTCCAAAACATGTAGCAAAAACTCAAGCGGCATACTTTGGATTATTCTAAGACTATTTTGTTCTTTTATTAAATAAAGATCAAATATTAGAGTATAATTCAACGAATTCTTGTCAGTCAATATTGGTTACTCTTCCACAACCTATTGAACAGCGACTCGAAAGAAGCATGTTTCAAAAGCCTGATCATTACCAGAAATCTACTACTGCGAAAGTAAAAACTGCAAGCCGTCTGCTGAAATTGTGTGCCAGTTCGCATTGTCAGCCGGCTCACCAATGTGGCCGCTGGATTCCGTGACCGATTCTTTTAACAGATGGCACTCTGTGCTGCCTTATCTCTATAGGCATTATACTCTGAATAGAATTGCTTAGCTTTCGTTCGTTATCTGCCAATATGAAGCCTACATCATGCTAATGAGTTACCAAATAGCACGAAACAGCTGTCCATGCTAGGCCTTCTATGGTCGGACGAATGAAAGCAGATTACTATGGACTATATTGTTCTATTTTCTCAAATAGGGCTCATAGGTAGCTGATTCGGTCAGCAAATCGTCAAAAACGCCTTACGTTACTAATGGACGCGCCTAAAGAATCACTTCTTGAATGTTCATCCTATGTTAACAGAAACAAGTTATAAACATAATGAGCTTTTAAAATAATACCTTTTCTTCTGCTAATATATAATATTGTTCTTCACATTTGCCCTTACTTATTGGACTTTCATATTTCTTCTTGAAATGTCACTTATTCTAACAGACTCTTCCTGTTGCCATAACTTTCACATGATATTATATATACCTATTACATATCAAAGTGTAATGTAATAAATCCTGCTTAGTCGGGCTACTTCTTTCTACATATCTTATCGAATACAAGTACACTTAGATAACGCTGAATGGTACTTTGGGAGATAAGAGCCATTATAGGAAGAGTATTATATCAATATGGATGTTGATGATCTGCGAAAGTAACAATAGAGATGACTTGACGAGTCTGCCTACTCCACTTAAGAGGTGTGGTCTGATATAACTGTTATTAATATTATTTTTATTGATGAACTGGCAAAAGCGAGAGTAATGTTGGTCCGAGATAAACATCCTATCTTGAGGACAATATCTCGTTGATGCATGAATGTACCTTTAATCTATGATCAACACCTAAAAACAGTTTCACACAATCAATCTGGACACCCTATATTAAATTAGATTATAGTGATTAGAATACTGTCCTAAATAAATGAGCTGTTGTGTCGGCCAGTTTTGGAAGTACGAAGTTCGACACGGATAGGGTGGGAGGCCGGAGTGAGGAGGGTCTGTTTGGCAGGCACATCGCGCGGCGGCATCATGGAGGTGAGTTATGAGGTGCCAGAGCCCGTTGACATAGCGGTAGAAGAGAGCTAGATCGCCGACGGCTGTACGGTAGAGAAGAGTAATCAATCTGTCGGTTAGTCCTCGTCTGGACAGCCTCGATCATGAAGGGGCGGCAGCACCCCAAACATGTGAACAGTACACGAGGCTGGGTCTTATCTGGGCCTTACAGAGTGAACAGGTTGTGTGGAGAAAAGCGGAAGAAATGCTTTAGACCTCTTAGTAAATATCCAGCTGCACTGTTTCGGTCTAGCTTATCTGCCTCCTCATTTTATTTGTTCTTTTCGACCCTTGGTGGCGATCAGATCTTGATTTACATGCGTTACCGATTTGGAATGCAAATCAGAGATTTGGTGGGCTAGAAGAGCAAAGCCCGTTGTTGTATCTGTAGATCATTGGCCGCTCTTTGATGCGAGGACTTCGATCGATTATTATTAATACTGTCACTTATAGGTCTGGTAATATTCTTCTGAACCTCGTTAAGTGTCTAATTTGGTGTAGCTGAGGCAGCAGTGCCCCAAATACGTGAACAAGATCTATTGACAGAGTCAGATTAATAGGGAGGGTGTTTTCTGAGCGATTTTGTTACGACTTTTTACACTGATTCATTCAGTGAAAAAACAACCAACATTGACGCTCTAATCGTTTTTGGGATCGTAATCTTGGTCTTGGATGCACTAGATCTAAACTATTCCTTCACTTCACCCTTGAAAAAGTAGCACTAAAATATTGAAAACAATTTTAATGAAAATTACAAATTAAATACACCGTACACATGTGTGCAAAAAATATAAAAAAATTCATATATCTAATATGCAGAAATATGAGGAAATATATATGAGAGTTAATTCAGATTTTTATTAAAATGGTAATGCATTATATAGATTGATCGAATTATAAGTTATTTATGAAATAATGAGGGTTTGTGAAGATGCATACTTAAAGTGTTAGTCAAGAGGATATTCCGTAGGTGGATATGCTCACGAGATATCAATTAATTTTTCAAATAAGAAGGAACTGAACTGTGTAGGAGTGTGTGAACATAGCATAATAAATGCTTGTACAATTATGCAACATTCCACCAATGATGATCATATTTTCTTAAATTGAAAATGAATCTACAACATGAATTTTGAATTTTTTGTAGACGTCTAGCTGAAACTGAATCTAAAAATGGATGGTATTCTAAATCACAATAAGTATTTTTGATAGTTATTATTAAAGTTTACATTAAATTTTGTTGGCTTTGAAATCGAGTATTTCTTCACTCAAATACAGCTATAAAACAGAGGTAAACAGTATTCAGGTATTAAATAAATTTGAGATTTTCTTCATGAACAAACCTTAGTCTTTACCGATTCCTCTATCTGAATAGCATTACCATTTAAAGTAATGCTCAAATATTCCTTAAAAGTTTTGGGTCCATCGACATTAAGCAATATGCTGATAAATATGATAAGCTCATAATATCAATCAGTTTTGGGTCAAAATATAGAAAATTTGCGTTTGAAGGCCATAGTACAAAATTCAACTTAATAGGATGTATTTTTGTTCTGGGAAACATTCGAAATGTCAGACCAATGTATTTTGACTGAAATATCAGCCAAACGAATTACTAAATTGCAACTGGACGTTATTTTTTAATTTATTGTATACTGTAAAATATTTATATCTTACGAAGCCTAAATCTTCCCAGGGAAAGGAAACGCGGGAAAACGACATATTTCTCAAAGCGTTAAAATTCACATTTTTCCGAACCCTCAAATTTTGACCGCCCAATCTAAGACCCTGAAGCTATAAAAAGCTTCACGTCTTCATAGGTACTCTCCAGAAAAAATCAACCTAGTCTATTATATGACTTGCCAAGCCAGATCGGGGAATCTTAGCTGTAACCCTATAGAACTAGAGGTAATAAATCCAATCATTTTCAACGCTCCGTTCATTGATAACAATTCTTCGCAAGCTGAGCAGCGCGTCGGCACTTAACAGTACTACCTCAAGCATAGTTATAGCTGTGTGCGGCCGGCGTACCGCCAAAGCTACCTACGACCCGAGTGAAAGTAATATTGGCTGGGTACCGCCGACCAAAACTCCGGTGGTCAGTACTGTCTGTCGTACCGCGCGATCTATCCGAGTTGCACGCGACGCTTCGACCTAACCCGCCACCATCAGAGCGGTGTGCCGCGACTGGAGTTCTCTAAGGGAGTGCGCATCATGAAGAGTGGTACCTTTGAAAGGTGGTATCTGCTCTTGGTGTTGACCGCGGCAGTGGACTGTTTGAAGGGTGGTACCAAGGGTGGAGGGTCCAGGTTACCCAGGACCAGTGCGGGGCAGTTAGCGGCCGCGGCGGCTGCCCAAAACAAGACTGTTCATGAGCTGAGAAATGCTAAAAATGCTACGCTTACCAGTACTGTTGGACCTCCTCCTGGTCGCAGATCTAGCAGCAGAGAAAGGTAGGATTTTGCATTTAAGACGACGAGTACCAATAGAGTAACCTAGACCAGGATTCTTTGTGTGGCACAGTGAGACCCTGTTTAGACCTATGAGTAAAAACATTCCATATCACATACATCATTACTAGGAGATCTTTTGCCATTTATGCATGAAGGTTATGACGACCTCTAAGTAGGTTATTCATTTGAGTGAAGTCCATTGATGATTTCACATATTTCTATAAATTGGTTTCTGAGACTGCGATGAGAAGAGAGAAGCGGAAGCCAATTTGATTATCCCAAACAAGCCATTTTGTAATTCAAACCCAGTACGGCTATACCGCACTTCACGATTCTTTGGCGGTCGTATTTGAATTCAGCACCCTAAGTTGCAAATGAAAGGTTTAATCTTCATAGTCCTGTAGCATTTTAATTCCTTCTATGAGACATGTTCCAAAAATATCTGCATATTCGTGATCTAGATAAAGAGTTATTTCTCATGTAAATAGATTACGTGGATTCCGAATCCTACGTCAATTTAACGGCAGAATTACGAAGGGCCCCGAGTTACTAATTTTCTTCCACGGAGTCTCCACGGCACTTCACACGGATTTTTAACGGTCATATTTATGTCCTAGATTACCTAATTATAGCAAGTGGCATTCACTGGTAATGACGAAAGTTCGCAACCGAAATTTGTTTCTACGATGAGAACTTTTTTAAAAAACCCCTGCGTATAGAGAACTCGTTACTGTGGTAAGTTGAATACGTAGGTTTCGAATCTGAAGTCAATTTGATGCTAGAACCGACGAAAGATCCCGACACCTACCTACCCCACGACACTTCACAATTTTTGTATAGTGTTGAATCCAGTTCCTCAAATTACCTCGTGTAAATAAGTCATATAATGATTTTACGTTTCCTGTGAACATTCCTTGCATATTTGTAATCTTGACGAATAACTCATTCCTGAGCAAATCGACACGGGTATTATGTATCTTAAAAAGTGACATTTCGTCATTTTTTTTTGATATTTCGTAGTTTTTTCTACAAGATATTACCACCAGCTGTTGTACGCTTGTTGTGCACTCGTTTTGTAGCTGTACGTGTTGCTTAAACGTCATCGAACAGCGATCAGAGCGAGCAAACGTGGGATGAACTATTTGCACGCTAGGTCTTTTACATAATACCTCTGCGGGTACTCGGACTTCGAATCTGTCAATTTGATGGCAGAACACGTAGAGGAGAGACGCTATTAGAATGAGCGCGTTCAGTCAATGTTGGGCGATCCAACAGTGCAGCGCTTTTATGCTGATAGTAGCCATAGAATAGCTTTGACAGTTCTAATCATTTAACCAACAATCAAATCTGGCAGCAAATTGAAAAGGTACCTACCTATATTATGGCTACTAATCAGCATTAAAGCGTTGCACTGTTGGACCGCTTTACATTGTCTGAACGCGTTCATTCTTTTCTGGCTATACAAAAGAACGCGAGGGGGGTGGATATAGTGCACGTAAAAGAAATATGTCCAAAAAAACCTGAGTTGTGCAACACATAAACGCATGTAGCTTTGGCGGACTTGTGCGACAACAAACGACGTTATGTCATATCTCGTGAAATAGTGGTAGTGGTGTGAACGCGATGTCTGGCAGCTAGGCCACCTTTGACTCCTTTGCCGACCCCGTAGCATCAACACTGTACTACTCAACAAGCTAATGGATATCCCAGCTCCAGCGACGCGGTGAATCTACTTGATCTTACACCGATCTGGTGCGAGTTACACAAGACAACATCCATAGCTCGGAATTAACTTCCGAGGCGAAGATTCGAACCCGCGAGGCTCGGGTCGACCAAATAGTAGCTTGACGCGCTAACTACACAGGCTACCCATGCCCCCACCAACATATCTCCTAAGCATATTATATCAATTCATGAATCGAAGCTCCTCGAATTACCTATGTGCAAATTGAAATTTTGTTCTACAAAGATCTTTAATATTTCTATGAAGTTTAAAAAAAATCCTTGCGAACGAAAAATTCATTAAATAATCATGCCTAGAACTTTAGAACAACTTGGAGCTCTGTATACTGTCCGCTTTGTTTCACCGAGTTATCTAGGTAGATATTTGGACAATCTTTATGATAATTTTTCCAAATTTTCTTAGATAGAAAAAGCATACTAATTCGAAGAAATCTTATTAAATTAACATAATTTTATATGGAATTCAAAGTTTTGATAAAATCTCACAAAAACAGTGAACTAAAATGACAATCTATTATAGAGAGCCGCATTGCTGTAGAAACTTTAACGCTGCGTCAGACAAGGAACCTTTTGTTTGAGACTTCGGTTACGTTACACTTTCACCATATTTAACACCTCTGGTTTTTTTTTTGTAGAGACGCACTTATACACTTAGATGAGGCCGCTAGTGCCAGTATGAAACATTCATAATAAATAATTGAAAAACACAGTGAACTATAGGTGCTTTATGGTAAAATGGCCGCAAATCTTCGGAGACTTCAACGTTACGACAGACAACAAACCTTACTGTTTCCTCCTTTCTCTATATTTTTATTTTTAATTGAAAGATACTTTATGGACAGAGATAATATTTTCATCATAATCTTGAATAAAATACTAAGTGACATATAAATCCGAACACCCAGTTTAAATGGTTTTATTTTAATAAAAGTGGGTGAATGTATTTATCTTACTGTAAATAACAAGTGAAAAAATTTTCAGCCTTATCAGTTGGACATTCCGGTTTTTATACTGTTTTTTTTAATTCACTAACGCTCTCAAAATGAATATTTCAGCCGCAGTAAAGAATCAACGTTGGCGGATTTTGGTTCTTGACATCCTTTACGATCGGTTACGATGCCTAGAGTACGGAGACCTGTACGATTTCGTCAACTTAGTGAGTTTGATAGGGACCGTATAGTGGGTCTTCCGGAAGCTGGACTTTCTTTTCGGGCAATTGCAGTTAGAGTGCAAAGAAGTGTAGACACTGTGCTTAGGTGTTGTCAGGCATGGCTTCGAGAAGGCCGTACGCAAAGAGCAAGGGGCACTGGACGCCGCCGTAGAACAACAGACCGTGAAGATCGCCGCCTAAGATTATTGGCCTTAAGCGACCGTTTCTCCACTACCAGGTCCATTGCAAATGAATGGTTTGCAGAACACGGAAGACCTATTGGCATGCGAAGTGTTTACCGACGAATGAGAAGTTTTGGCTTGTTTTCATACCGGCCACACTGGGTCCTCCCTTTAACTCGAGAACATCGACCTAATCGCCTTGAGTGGTGCAGACAACGGTCACTCTGGGATCAGGAATGTAACAGTATTGTTTTTAGTGACGAGTCTCGATTTTGTTTAGGCATGCACGATGATCGTGCCAGGGTTAGAAGGCGACGTGGTGAAAGGAGGAATCCACAGTTTTTTGTTGGAAGACATGTTCATCACACTGTTGGAGTTATGGTTTGGGGTGCTATAGCTTATGGTTCCAGGTCACCTTTAATCTTCATCAGAGGTAACATGAACACGCAGCGTTATATCCACGAAGTTCTAGAACCCCATCTTTTACCCTATCTTGACACCCTGGCAGATCCAACTTTCCAACAAGATAATGCCTGACCACATGTGGCAAGAGTCACAATAGACTTCTTTCAACATAATGATGTCACATTGTTACCATGGCCACCAAGATCTCCCGACTTATCCCCAATTGAGCACGTGTGGGATATGATGGGTAGGAGATTGCTCAATTTGCAACGTCCTCCTCAGACTCTAGAAGCACTTCGAGAGGAGTTGGTGGTTGCCTGGAATGAGATACCACAGGAGGACATTGACCACCTGATCAGAAGCCTAGGCGCGTTGGAGAATGCGTAGCACATCAGGGTGCATCCACACATTATTAAAGGTCAAAGGGCTTTAAAGCAGTGCAATCATTTTGAAATTGTTCATTTACTTATTATGCTTCATTAAGTACTTATACAAAATTTTATTAAAATAAAACCATTTAAACTGGGTGTTCGGATTTATATTTCACTTAGTATACATATGGAAGTGCAAATTATCTTCCATTTAAATGTTTTCCCGTTTTGGTACCTTGAAAAATATCCGTACAGAAACTGGAAAACTCTTTTCTCTATTCGCTGGAAATATCCGACAGCTTAGGTTGAATTTTAGGTATTTTACTTCTTCAGATCTTATATATTACTAACATTGGACGCCTTCGGGGATTGACAGCACGTTATGTCAGCGGTCATTCTAATCAAATTGACACATTGATATTACTCTAATAACAAGAACTAAGTATATATCCACCTAATAATTGCTTATAAACAGTCTGGCGATATTGCATTGTTATACAATAACACTGCCCAAAAAATAAGGACCTCATATAATTTTCTAAGGATATCTTGTTATCACATTTGATTTATCTGGGTGAGCTCATGTCAGAATGTTTGTCTAGGAAGTCTAGTTCTAAGAGAAAAAACTATTTAAAATTAGTTGATGATATGTGAATATGAAACATCTGGGATATAATGTGAGTATCAAGGTAACCATTCCATTCCATTCTCATTGGAATAGGTTTCCTAAAAATCTCAGATTATAGTTAAAAGTCAGGTTTTACTAGGTTATTCGTACGTTGCCAAGGGAGAGTTGACATAGGTATGTTGGCTAATTACTGCTGGAATCTACATCGGCATTTAGACCAGGCATCTCATTCAAGAGAAATCTTATAAAATATATTAATCTCCAATCATAGTAACGGCTTAACATAAAGTGTGTAAAGAATCATACTCTATCATAGCTGCTAGAAAACAGTGTCATTTTTGTAACCAAAACATTTAATTTAACCGAAAACCATCCCGGAAAATTTCTCAGTGTTGAACAGTGTAATCTATACCTACACTGTCCATATGCACTTGCTTGAGTTGCTTTTTGTAGACATTTTGATTTTTTCCATTTTTAAGTCGGCGATTGTCCTAGAAGGCAAACCTTTCTGCTGCATTCATTGCG